ACTAGGAGGTGGTGTGGGGGGGGGGTGCAATGGGGGGATAAGGACACATATGTAATACCTTAATCAATAAAAAGTAAAGTCCTTAGCATTTAGAACCAGAGACTCTGAGTATGACTCTTAGTTCTTTCATTAGTTGTGTAACTTGACTAGCCATTTAACCATTCTGAACCAGTTTCCCCTTCAGTAAAAGAAAGATAACAATATCTATTTTATTGTATTGGGTTGCATAGCAGTTAAATGAATGAACTATTTAAGCCTTCTGAGAAGCATAGTACAAAGAAAGTGCTTAATAAATGTTAATGTTCTTCATTCATCTATTTCCCCCAATCATGCACTTAGCACTAAATAAAAAACATATGTCACTAATCATCTATATTTTAAGCTTACCCTTCTCTCTTTTAGCCAAATAGAATGTTCCTAAGGGACAAAAAAAAAGTCTAATTCAGCTGAGTAACCCTAGTCCTTGACAACTTTTGAGCAACTAGTAAGCTCTCAATAAATGTTTACCTAAAATGATTAAATTAAGAAACAATGTAGAAAAATGGTTCTATAAAGATGTTTTCCTCTGCAAACTTAAATATCTTATATTAACTACATTTATTCTTAAAATATCCTCCTATGACAAAGGCAACAGGTATTTTACATATTTTAGAAAAACTGAAAAAAAAACCTAATTGGATCCCAGTGGATACTTCATGGTAAACAAAAGAAAAAAATCATCATTAAAGAAAAAAATATCTATGAAGTAAATTTGTGCACTAGAACACTAATAACATGAATACAGAAGGTAGTGCTGGTAAGAAGTAACGGACTTTCTACAGATGTCTTCTGAGGTCCTCTATCATGCAACCATTTGACTGCTGTACTTCCAAATGGCAGACAAACACTCATAACTGCACTGACAAGTGCCAAACCAAACTGATAAGACACATTTCCTGTTCTTCAGGAGATTCTCTAATTTTGAAGTCAAGCAGCAAGAAATTATAATTTTCATTCTATGTTCTAGTGTTGCTGACTTCTACACAACTCCTAGACAGAGTCCAACATCACCCACTCCCACAGAACTAATGGGAACGGCCTGTCAGAGAGAGGGGAGCTATTTTACTCACTCAAACTCAAAACACTGTTTTTCATGAATGTTATGGCAGAAAAAAAGATATAATCTGACATATTTTCCTCCAAATACAGAGCAAGTGCCCTAAAAGTTCAAGTTGTTTTGAACTTACCATACAGAGGCACACAGCTTGGTCAGAGGGCACTCAAAATCAGTTTGTCATAAGAGCCTTGCCATAACTATAAATCTCAGACAAGTTCATTCCTTCAATAGACATTTCCTGTGGGATTATTACATAACAAAAATTATACCAAATTATGGAGACAGAGAAGTAAATATATATAATCCATGTCTTTCTGAAACTTACAGGCAATTGGGGCAGACTGAAATACTTTGCCAAAATTGGCATTAAGGTAGAACACATTTCCTAGCCTCCACATAACTACATTCTGGCCAGTGAAATGTGAGTGTACGTGAGGTAGGACATATCCAGGCCTGGCCATGGCAAACCTCCCTCTTGATTGTGAACTTTCTCTTTCTATCTCCTTATTTGCCAGCTGGATGCAAAGGACTCTGAGATCTTATTGGTGATGGAGCCACAGGATGGAAAGAAGCAGAAGGCCACCTGCCAACCACACTCTTGAAACTATTTTGTGAGCAGGAAATTGACTGCTATTGTGTTAAGTGACTAAGATTTGAAGTTGTTTGTATGACAGTTTGTCTACCCTATCAAAGCACGAACCCAAAAGACCTCCAAGACATTATGATCTAGAGTATGCACAAGATGATGTGGCACTACCAGAAAGAGGTACCTCACCTGGGCTGGAGTTGAATATCAGGGAGGGCTTTGCAAAAGAAGAAACACTTAAGATGAATCTTGAGGGACACTGTGAGGCAGTGAGAAAGGAAATAGGATGTTGAGGAGAAAGCACTTGTAAACTTTGAGGAAATGTGGCACACTGGGAAAGTGTCAGTGATTCCTGACTACTAGAATATAGAGTGACATTGGGAAATGGAGCTGCTAAATATGTACTTGTTGAAATGAATGAACCCAGGACATAGAGTAATTAGTAAAAATAATGAATAAGGGGAGAAAAAAGTAATCAAGAACATCTAATTTAAAGGCAGAACAGAAGATGACATTCTCTTCATGAAGATAGAAAATGTAGGAGAAAGAAGTGAAAGGATGAGTTTGATTTTGAAAGAAACTAACACTGAGATAACTATGAAACATCCACAGAAGAATCAGCAGGTAGTTGGACGTAAGGGTCTGGAGGTCAGGCAGTAGTAAGGATAGGAGAGGTGGTTGAAGCCACAAGCATAAGGGGATTGCTCAGGTAGAATATTGAGTGACAAGCCAGAGAAATAGGAAAGGAAGTGGGGAAGAAGGGGTGAGAGGGAGAGAGGGAGGGAGAGAGAGAGAAAGAGATAGAGAAGATATTAGAAAAGCAGTCAAGAGATAAAGTAATATGGTGACATAAAAAATGTCCATTATGTTTGACAATTAGTCAACTATTTGTGACCTTAACAAGTTCCATTCAATACTGGCAAAAGCCAGTTTAAAATGGTCTGCAGAGTGTATAAGAGATGAAGAATTAGAGATAGGAAGGAATATAAAATACTCTTTAAGGAAAACTGACTCTAAGAAACAATTAGCTAGAAGTGGACAAAGAGGCAGAATTTGTTTCATTTGGTTTTAATTTTTCAGGATATAAGACTTAAACATGTAAATATGCTTAATTCTTTGAACTTTTATTTCCCTACCTATAAAATAGGGATAATAAGGCTCCTGCTTGGTCCCTTGGGTCGCTGTCAGAACAAATAAGATGACATATGTGAAAGATCCTAATCTAAGTACTAAGTAAAGGGCAAGGTTATTATGTATTTATAAATGTTGAAAATATGGAGTTATTAGAGTCAAGAGTCCCGTGAAATATGGTTGGCTATAAAATCAAGAAAAAACATATAATCAGTCTAGATCCAGCAATATTCATAAAAATGTCTTCTTAATATACACTACAAGTTGCTGACCCCAAATCTTAGAGGCTAACAACAGATTTCTAAGTCCTATGCTAGACAAAATTTTTCTGGGGCTCCTGGGTTACAGTCTGGGTTTCCAAACGTCTTCATTACACCAGAAAGAAAAAGAAAAAAGCCAATGAACTCTGGCAGACAGCAGTGCATTAAGTCATCTGGGAATTTATTAGTCTTATGAGTAGTAGTTCTTAAATAAATATTGCTGGCAGTCACCCAGTTTCCCAAAGCAAAACACCAGCTCCATAATTTAGGTCTTATGACCAGTGAAATCATGGTGAATGGCAACAGCTTCCTCAGTATGTTATTCTAAGGGCTGATTGAGGCATTCTGGGACATAAGCTAGCCATTTTAGGACTTCTCTCCTGGGAAGATTTACCATCCAAAAGAATATGGTCTAATCATTATTTCACTAGCCACCAAACCTTTAAAGACTCTACAAAGAACATTATTTCTAGCACTATGACATGAGTGGACTAGACTTTCTCTCATAAAACTTCTAACAGGTGGTCTTCACATATCCCATCTTCTTCCCCTGGGAAGATATTTAATCCCATAAAAAAAGGTTCCTTTCCTTCTCTGCACTTTTGGACAACTCCTTCTGACTTGATTTCCTACTTGCTAATGTACCCTCCTCAATTATTTTATTTTCAAGGGTGTAGGGTGCTAATTAAGGTCAAGTAGCTATGTTTCCAGCTCCATATAGTAACTGTGCAGAATAAGCTTTCCTTTGTAGTAGATAACTAAAGATCTAGTCTTGAGAACCAAATAAACTCTACGTGCAATTATTTTTGCATTTCTTTATCTGAACAAGATCAGGCTATAACACTAAAATGGTGCTCCTTATATCAATGTTTCTCCAATATTTTATCCTTAATGTGTGACACTACCATATGTAGCTATTCAACTAGGCCAGTGGTCGGCAAACTGCGGCTCGCGAGCCACATGCGGCTCTTTTGCCCCTCGAGTGTGGCTTTTCCTAAGCCTTAGGAGTACCCTAATTAAGTTAATAACAATGTACCTACCTATATAGTTTAAGTTTAAAAAATTTGGCTCTCAAAAGAAATTTCAATTGTTGTACTGTTGATATTTGACTCTGTTGACTAATGAGTTTGCCGACCACTGGGCCAAATGTCTGCAGGTCAATTTTTAGACCTTTTTATCCACTGCAATGCTGAATTTCATCCTAAGACTGAGGGTCAATAAACCACTTTGCAAATTACTGCCATCAGAACCACAAAGAAAAAGACAAAACTTAGGTTGCCCTCACATACCACCACTGAACATTTATAAAGACCTTTATAAATAAACGTGTCTTTCATAAGTTTACCTCATTTATCCTTAAAATAATTTTGTAAATTTTTTACTCATCATCACCCATTAATAGAAGAGAATGCCGAGGCCCAGATAGTTTAAGAACATTTCCCAAGGCCACTCAGTTTTACAAGGGCTGAGCCAGTTCTATATCCAACATCCTCTGCTTCCTCAATTCTGCACCATAGACGGCCCCATCATATTACCCACTTTGTTTTTATTTCACTTCTCTAGCAACAATGGAAAGAGCCTGGCTTTCTCTGAAGTCATCAAAGAGTCTTTGATGAGACACAGACGTGAATTCAGTTCTCCCACTAATGAAAATACATAATATACTGGTTATATAAGGAATGTTATGGGATCATCACAAATGTGGAAAGTTTTTTAAAGAATGCACAAATGATGCCTGGAATCCCGAAAAGGCCAAATTAGATATTACAAACAAATGACCAAATGTGGGATAGGGGAAATTCCATGAGCTAATAGTTTTTTTCATTTGAATGGTTTGTTTTCATTTCATAAGGGCTTCTCTTTCATGGAAAACTCTGTTTTGGGGGTGGTTTTTTTTAAAGGATTTCAAAGTAGCATCATGACAAACCTGTAAATGGAGAAGGAAGCCACCGATCGAATGAGGGATGCCAAAGCCCCCACTTTGGCAGCTTCCACTGCCCCCTGGACTCGGTATTTCACTGTGTTGGAGTAGTTGGTATAAGGTTGATTATAAACAACAATCTTCCCTCTTGCTTCTTGGGCCCTTCTCCGCAGTTCATCGAAAGAGGTCACCACCAGAACTTCTGCTGTAATGCCTAGAAATAAAAGTCATATGAGATTAACTTATACTTTCCGATCAGCCAGGTTGGACTGGCGCGCGAAAGGTCACATATGCTCTATCTGCTACATCTGGAAAACTGTTTGAGTAGATCAAAGTGTTACAGCCATTTGCCATGGGAGAAAGATTGTGGGGGTTAGCCAGTTTCCCAAGAGAGAGAAAAGGCATTCAAAAATTAACATACAACTCATGAGGTTGTAACATACAACTCACTTGACCAGCTGGTATTAAATTGCAAGTGGCTTGAAAAGATACGTTTTTTCCCCTTCTTTCCCACCCTAAGAAGTCACAAATTTCACAGAATGACACGAATTATTTTATAAAGAAAATGCATTTTAGGAAGCTCCCCTTGGGATTAATGAAACACATATTTATCTTTTCATAAAACTATTTTGATATGTTGCTCTACAACCTTCCTTCATGACATCATACAAAGGATGGTCATTTATAAAGAATGTTCTTAGAAGCCAATGATGTTCACTACCTTTTTCATTGTTGTTGTTAATTCTCACCAGAGGATATTTTTCCATTGGCCTTTAGAAAGAGTGGAAGGGAGGGGAAGAGACAGAAAGAGAAACATCAATGTGAGAGAGACACATAGATTGGTTGCGTCCTGCACGCACCCCTACCAGGGCTGGGGATCAAACCTGCAACCGAGGTATGTGCCCTTGACCAAAATTGAACCCAGGACCCTTCAGTCCATGGGCCAACACTCTATCCATTGAGCCAAACTGATTAGGGATACTTTAAAAAATATATATGTTTTTATTGATTTTAGAGAGACAGGATGGGAGAGAGATCAAGAGATAGAAACATCATTGAGAGAGACACATGGATTGGCTGCCTCCTGCATGCCCTGACCGGGAATAGAATCAGGGACCTCCTGGTTCATGGGTTGATACTCAACCACTGAATCACACTAGCCGGGGTGATCTTCATTAACTTTTAACAAATAGTCAATGTAACCTTTCCCAAGAACCACAAAAAGTCAGCTTGTTTTCTTTCCTCCTTTGTACAAAACACTCATAGAGGATGTGGAACTTTCCCATGCTTCTCAATTTACTTGTTCACACCAACTACATCACGATTCTTCACATAACATTTTTGAAGATCTTGTATAGCTGTCCTGTGATCCTGCTGTCTCATTTAGAAGAGGCATGCTATCTTTCCTCAGACCACAAGTCTTGCCGGATTTTCCTGATTAGGGAACAGGGTTTCACAGGTTCTGAGAAGTCATTCAAAAACTGCCAGACCACTGAAGATCCAATTTTATGGAGCAGTTAGAGTAACAACAACAAAAAATAAAATAAAAAAAATATTTAGCAACAAAGGCCAGATGCAGTGGCTAAATATAACTGCCTAAAAGAAAGTGGCAGGCGCCTACTGTTTTGTGGCTTTAGACACACAGTCATGAAATATGTCAGTTAAAAACCAAAGTATCAACATATATTTGGCATCCTTTCTTAATCTTGCAAACTAGAGAACTGGGTTTTTCTGGAAGCTTAACAGATGTCATTAAAATATTAACTGTTGCTTGGAAAATTCTTTTAAAATACACTGCAGTTATAAGAGAATTCCTGCTTTCAATGTAGATTCCATCACAATGGACCCTCCGGGCAGGCTCTTCTCCAACTCTTTTGCCACCATCCAGACTGAATTTTTACTTTTACTTTAAAGTGATTGATTGCAGATCTGTAAGAATGTCTCCACTAACATTCAGATCTCAACATTTAATTTATAATCTAAGAAAAGCAACATGCAATTATGGAAAGTAAGGAAGCCACTACTTGTTCACATGATAAATATGTGCCAAAATACAAGTAAGGGTGCAACTAGACAGATTTTGAGAATCATAACTTTCTAAAATCTAGTTACCTTGAAACTTGACTGGCATTATTAGTGGCATAGCATGAGAATTTTGTTGATGGTTTTCAGCCGTTCCTAATGAAAAACAGATTCAATGGTTTACCTAAGGGGCGTCCTAGCAATGGGATAATTTTGGCATCTGGATTGGAGCCACTAGAAATGAAGCCAAATTTCTATAAATTTTTATAAGCCACTGCAAAATTAAAGTCATACAAGTGTGGTATTTCTCTCTGGTCTATGCTTCAAGTTCTTTTAACAAATGAGTGAGTGAGAGTGCTGAAGAGCTGAAACCTAACGTAGACGCCACAGTTGCCAATGCAAATCACTAGTAATAGCTATAGGTCAAAACATATCACCGTGGAAGAAGAGTTCAAATTAATCTGTTTTCCTGAAAGCTACGCCTTGTCGCTGATTCTTTTGTCTTCTTCATCCCCCATGTCTAGTCAATCCTCAAACACTAATCATATTGATTGAATCCAAGTCCCCTGTTTCCTCCCCG